GGGTTTTTTGGTGCTTTGTGTTGAGAGGGACCTCCAGCGGAAGAAACAAACATTTCAAAACGGGGATTTTTTTCAGCAAAACGAAGGTTTTTAAAATGGGAATTTCATGCAGTTACCTAAGATGGCTCTGCTCAGCCATTAATGTAATTTATATTTAGCACAAGACCACAAACAGACAGATTGCTAGACCAGACCACTCCAGAGAAGAGCAAACCCCTCTGCCTCCTTACTCGCAGCGTTGCTCAAATACAGAGCATGGCAGGAACATGGGAAACGAACGCAAAATAGAAAAATACGACATTTTAAAAACGCTGGTTGAACAAATTGCGTTGGAAAACTGAAGAGGGATCCAACCCCCGCCTAGGGAAAGCTATCACTGTCTTTAGCTAAGCTCAAGGTTAACAGAGTAGGACAAACTCAGAGAGATCACTTCAGTTGTGAAGTTACAGTGCGCCTACGCAAAACAAACCTCATAAAAAAAAAAACGGCTGCACACGGCAACACGTAAGACAGCCTCTTCTTTTTATCCATCCCCTCGCTGGAAATCCACCGCTTCGTACCTTCTGCTGCAGCCAAGGGCTGGCAGCAGGTACCTGCTCGCTGCTCCGAGCACAGGCCGTCGCCTGTGGCGTGGTCCGACTTCCCCGCCGGGCGCTGTTTAGATCTCCCCGTGTCGTTCCGGAGGGGGTAACTCATTTGGCATCGTGCTAACACGGCCAGAACACCGAATAAAAAGCAAGAAGCTCTCCCCGGACGAACCAAGGGCATCTAGACGGCAACGCGGCAGCAGTTTCTGCAGAACGCCGCTTATCCCGACACCGAGCTCCGGCCATTCGTGCCGCGACTAGGCCCAACAGCAGAAAACGCTCAGCGCCGACGCTCTCCACCAAGACACAAGGCGATAAAGAGAGTGAAAATGAAGGATTCTGCCTCACCGACACCCCTTCCGCCTCCTCGCTCCACTCGTTTGGCAAAGGGAAAGGGACAAATGCTTCAAGTTCGTACGCCCGCTCAACGGCAACAGGGCCCGGGGCCGGCTGCCCGTGGCGAGGCACCTCCGCAGGGAAGGAGGACGGTGCCTCCGGCCGCACGGAGCCAGGCCCCACGCAGCGCTCCTTCGCTGACCAAGCGTCACGCAATCGTTTATTTTCACAGTAATCTTTAGCGGGGGACAAGGGCTTTCTTCACGCGTATCCTTACAACATCGACTCTCTCTGCATTCCGACCTCTCCGTCGAAGTGAAAGCCATTGGAATACATTACTAATTTTGAAGGCATTAATTAGAAACACTCACTGACTTCAAAAGCGTCTCTGAAACGAAAGAATCCTGAACCGGGAGGCAGGAGTTGCGGTATCTGATGTGACCAAGTTACATAAACTGACAGAAAAACCCCAAAGTGTCTTGTATTCAAAACTGAAACCACGTTAAAATTTTAACAGCAGGCAGTTCAACTCAGAGGCACCGAAAAATCCAACGAAAATTTCTAAATCCACTCGCAAACCATTTACGTTAGGAGAACGCTGTCATTGACAAAAATACCATCACTTCTGGAAATTCAACACAACCTACCAAGCGCTACCGATTCTGTCCTCAGATGCAGAGAATATGTTCATTAAAATAAAGATTTGATGTGCCAGCGAAGTGGTCGATGGAAGGGATACTGTGTGATGAAAGGAAGGCAAACCAACCCGACAGCACTCTGAGGGGTTTTTGTTGTTGGGTTTTTTTTTTTTGGTTTGGTTTGTGGGGGGTTTGTTGTTGGTTGTTTTTTAGGATACTTAAAAAGGAAGATGAGTATAGTGATTATTCCTAAATTGTTACTGCACTCGCTGTTTTTCTCCCCCTTCAGAGTGCCACCATTCTAATACCCAACTGCCACATACAAGCCGTTTTAAATGTTTTCAGCAGCCTTCACTGATCACTCCTGGGCAAGGATATACCACCTTGTTTTAAAGTCTACAGAGAGACTCGGAGTAGGGAACCTTTTCTACACAAAAAGCTGTATAAATAAAGAACTGAATCTGATCATTTTCATATGCTGCCAGGCTTTGGATGGATAAATGTTTCCAAAGAGCTGGCGCCTCTGTTGTGGGTGGAATATTGCAGGATTCCCCTTCCCTCCTCCCTCCTCCCCGAAGCAGAATCTGGTCTCTATTAAAGGCATTTCAGCTGTAATTCTACTGTCTGAAATATCCCGATTTTATACAGTGTTGCAATTCCTAAAACAGTCATTAACACTGATGAGATCCTGTTCCAGGTCTGGCAGTTCTGAGTTTTACTGTCCATGCCAAGCTTAGCAGGGAAGAAAAAATTTTTAAGTTTTAGTAATGCTGAAAGGTGCACAGATATCATATTAAAAGACTGTGCCGAGGGGGATCTTTGTCTGTGTGTAGTGTAACATACACAAAAATTCACTCAGCACGCTTACAACCCACCCTATAAAGAACCTTCAAGCACCATCTCTGCTTTGGTGCAACCAAAGACACCGTTTGACCTATTGAAATTACACAAACAGTGCACAATCCCGTTTGGACTTTTACAGCTGTCAGCAACGCAATCGTCAGAAGGGTACAACGGCAAACCCCATTTCCGAGCTGACCGAGCACACGAGCATTGCAAAATTCGATACAGGCCATAAATACAACACGGCAACGCGCATTCGTGCGTTACTTTCCGTTGAGAACTCCCTGTGATGACCGTGAGCGCCTTACGGAAGCGCTTAGTGATTAAAGCTTGTTTGATTCTGCCCGAACGCTGCATTACAATACAACTGAAGCGAAAGTCAGGGAAACAAGGAATGGTTTGGAAATCCGCTTCTTCCTTCGGAACGCACTGTATGTCTGTCTCCCCCCTCTCCCCTGCCCCGCCCCAAAAGATCCAGAATTTTATGCAGTCCTAAGATCCAGGGTGCAAAAGCTCATCCGTAAACGTTCCAGGACATCTTCCCCCAAACACACAAATGGAAAAGGAAATGTAAAACATCAATTATAGAACTACAAGCATTTGAGGAAAAAATCTCTTGGTTATACATATTAAACATGTACAGTAACACCAAAAAAAGTGTGCATAACAAAATGTATTGCGATTATTAAAGACTTGTATTCGACATCACATAAACTTGAAGTACCTTTGGCAATGTTTTACATTCAGCTTAAACATTAATTGTTTTAATGTTTAAACAGTAATTTTTCCGCTTCTTCCTTTCTGTAGGTGATCTATGCCAGTGTTTTAGAGCTGGGACAATGACTATTGTTGTTTTAAGAGAAAATGGGTACTGGCAGCTAATAAGGACATCGTTTAATAACAACTGCCTGCTGTCCTGTTAAAAGCAAGAGTCTTTTCAGAAATTATTGAATCCAGCTCCTGCAGCTGGCCAGGGAGGTTGCTTTTTCTGTCTCAGTGTCACAAGTTTTGATGTCTGTCATGAAGCCCCAGATGCTCAGTATTACCTCAATCTTGCTGTTAATTGAAAGAGGTTTTGCGCATTCTAGCTGCAAATAGGTGGTTTTTCCACGCTTGGAGGAAAGAGTAAGTCTCTCAGAACTTCAGAACTTATTTCAGGAAGCCTCATTCTTTTTTAACCTTCAGCATCCAGTAAGCATACGGCTGCTTCTCTGTAGTAACAGGAGTGGGGACGAAGGGCACAGTAAAGGAAAATAAATCAAGAAAAGCTGGAAGTAAATTGAGGTCAAGGACATAAGGCCAGTGCTGCATTGTTAAAATTACGGCAGGTTGCCACAGTTCTTCATGAACAGCCCTAAGTTAATTCTGCCTTCCTTTTGAACTGAACTTACAAGCAGGTTCCAGAGACAGAAAGATGCAGGTAATCTAGCTGTTGCTCCAAGGTTCCAGTGGTAGCGAGGCCTCCAAAGCAAGGATCTTACCTTTGCTACAGCTGACATCTGACCTGGCTACATCAGTGTTTGCAAGCAGACACACAGCAGCCATCCCTTCGAAGCAAGATTATTCTCTGCATCTGCATTTTACCCCTCATTCTCACGCTCAAGTGTCTTCCAGTTGTACTTGGAAGGGAAGCAAGTCCGTCTAATCATCTCAATTATCAGGAAGGATGCCAGAAGAAAAGTAGCTTAGCAATAACAATAATCAAATTTTCTAAAAACCTGAGAAGCAGCAGATTGCTCACATTTGATTACAGTAAAGTCAGGCTGTACTGATGAAGCAGGAAGTAGGAAACAGAGCTACTAAGGGAAAGAAATACAACGTGTTTCTGTTTTCTCCCTATTCTCTGCCTGACCTACGGCCTGCCTTGACTTGCCAACTCTCCTTATATATTACTCGTCCTCTTGCAGCTCTTGCCTTCCTGACATCTCAGAGCAGCTGGTTTCCATTCCCTTTTCTGGCTCCTCTTTTCTTGATCCCAGTAATTTCTGCCCTCGTCAAGAAAGAAAAAGATTCAAGACTGTGGGGCCCTAAAGAAGCAAATAACAAGATAGGGGAAACTATACCAGTGAAACAGAGGAGAGGAATAAGACTCCTCACCAGTAAGGAAAAGGTGAGAGGAAAATAAAAGTAGCCTGTTCAAGAAAGCAGACTGTGGCATCTGGTTAAATTCACTGGTAACGTTTCCCACAACGCGGGACAGCGAGCTACAGAATTACGTGCCCACAGCTCCCAAAGCCTCTCTCGTGTTCATGAGAAATGTATGGGTTGAAAGATCCCTCTCTCTGCTACTACAGCATCCTTTGAGAGAGATGGCAGCTCTGTGAACAAATGTATCCTTACAGCTTAAGTACCCACAGAAAAGGCCATCTACAGAAAGGAAAAAAGGATAAAATCGGAGAATTCTTATCAAAAACTTCAAAGACTTGAAATTCATTTCATGAGAGTTAAAAACAACACATCTTGCAGTTTTTGTATGACAACACCAATCATCAAACAGAACATACACAACATTGTACAAACAGACAAATAAATGGAAACAATCTAAAGTTTTGGGAAAGTACTAACCAGTTACTGACAGCAGCTGTGAAACCCTCACCTCCATTTCCTCCCGATGAGACCTGTCTCTATCCTCGAATTCACGAGTTCTTCGACGAGCTTCTTCAAAGGCTTGTTGTGCCAATGCATCCTCCTGCTACCAAAGCAGATGACACAGAGTGACACAAAAGGCTACCCTTGTTTCTACCAGATCACATGTCTTTTGAGCATGAGGGATCACTTGGCAGCAAAGACAAGTACGTCCTACAAAATCTGCCAGATGCGTTCCAGCAAACGCCAGTATAGGTTAACGAAATAATACTCACCTTCATCACTGCAGTAGAGATAACCAAAGCTGCGACACAGCTACTGCTAAAATACATTTTCAAAGGAGAACTGCTTTCACAGGTAGTTTAAAATGCTGCTGCTGTTTTAAAAGCCAGGGATCCTCAGAAGTTATATGAAAGAAGCAATACATTTTATTCTCCTTATAAAAGTCATTTTGAAGACAGTATTCATGGGTATATCTAGATGGAGTTCACTAGCGTCATTATACAAACAACGGTAATTTAATTCTCTGTCATTTTAAAAAAAGCATTAGCCAAGTTACAAACCAAATAAATCCTCCATTTTATCAAAAGCTGCTGAAGGTGCATCAGTATGAACATTCGTAATGCTTACGTATCATTTAAATTATTTAAATTTAGATGCAGTAGAAAGTGCAAAGCAGAAGTTATTCCTCCGCTAATTCGTACACGCTCACATACAACGCAGAAGAAACCTACAGGTTTCCAACAATCTGGTTGTTTATTTTATTTTCTTTTCAACAGTGGCTTATGCACAGGATAGATTTAATAAATAAACACTCAAATAATCCTTTGAAACATATTTTCTGTTAGAAAAGGTTTCAAATAAAGTGTTACTAATATGTTAGCCATTATTAATCGGGTTACAAATTATTTCTCCTGAAGAGACCTTTTAGCACACGTTTTGCTCAGAATGAAAATAGATGTCTCTGTTCCCAATCAGACTCTTAAAATGTTCAGAACAGAGGAGTCAAGTCTAAAGAGGTTCCACAAAATAGTAAGAGATAAGCTGTATTGTTTCTTCCTCCTTCTAACTCCTCAGCTATAATTATGACTAACTCTGCTTATTATTACTATACACACAAATGTTATTTTCAAGTTGATAGATTTAAAATAGTAATAAAAAAAATCCTAACCTTGACTGTTAAGAGGACAAAAACATGTTGAGAACCCAACTAAATTTTAATATGCCAAGGGATTAAGTACATAAATTTTTTAATTTAAGATAAAGCATCTTCTAGTCTGAGAGAATGTTAAATTGCCTTTTTTGCCATCGGCACAGTCGTGCACCCCGGAGCTACTTTGTGCGACGGTGTGAGTGAGTGCCCCTCATGGCCTAACACAGTTAATTACAAAGATCTGTCAATCAATAGCTCTGCATAGCCGGGTCCCCAGGAAGCTACGTTGAAAGGCAATGCTTAAAGCTGCCAATAAGGTAACATTTTACCACCACCTACTATTTTTAAAATTAGAATTTGGCCCTTCGTAGCTATCTTAACTTTCATGCAATGCATAGCAACCAAGGTCAGACAGTGGAAAGTAAGTTTGTTCTTAATAATGCAGAAGGATAGAGATAAAATAGATATGCTTGTCTCCCAGATGACTACAGAAAAGCTGTCTTATTTCTAATTTACAGAAGCTACATACATCTTTATTACTTTTTTTTTAAACGAACTTATATGAAAGCAGATTTTTTTTTAATAAAAGATTTTTGCATTTTTACTTTAAAGTGGTCATGAAATAAAAAGGCTAACATATAGCCACAGCCAGAATATTTTAAAGAAACAGTCATAACCAAAAGAAACTAAATTAGAAATTCATAGGAGAAGAATCAGTATGTTGACATCCAGAATGAACACATGTTGACAGCTGAAACACTGCTTTACTAATGTCTGAGAAAGGGGGGGAGGAACATCAGAACATATTTTTAAGTGAAAAAAAAAAAATTCTTCTCTACTCTTGGTGATGTGTTATAACATAAATCAACAAACATCTCAGGATCTTGTACAACAGGAGTTTATCAAACCTTTTTTCAAATGTCACCCAAATCTAGTAATTATAGCCTTGCAAATTTGGCTTTATGAAACCCAATTGTTTACCCATCTTAGTTTTAGTAAGTAAAAATGCTCCTGGTATGAATCTACTAAGAAAAAGAAGGATAAGCAAAACATGAGCCATATAAACAAGAGGACAGAACAAAACAAACCCCTCAACCCAGAAAAACAAGAGAGAAGCTTACTAACACCCGCCGACCAGCAGCCTGGTAGGAGAAGACTTTGTGAGAACAACCATTTACAGCAAGAATGCGCGATTACGGAAGGGGTAAGTGTTCAACAGTACTGAAGACAGAGACAGCCTTTTAATGACACTCGAGATAAGTATCAAATCCAGGGAAATTTCATCCCCAAATGGGGAAGATACTCAAGCACGTGCATAGAGCTTTGTGTGCATTAGTCCACTGAGGGCCTCCAGTAACAAAAAGTAAGGCTGCTTAGTAGCAAGGTATTAATACGCTGTGAATTAAATAGAAAGAGAGCTAGCTTGAAAGCTACAATTAAAGTGCTTTGTTGTTATGCATGTGGTTTTTCTTCCTACAATATTTTTGACCTGGTGAAGGATAGTATCCTTTCCAAAGCACAGCAGCAAAGACAAATTTTATCTGATCCCAGTATTAGTTAGTAAAACGCGTCAAGAGACGGGAAAAAGCAAGAGCATTACATTCGTATCAGGCAGGCCTTCCAGCAACTGGGAGTAAGGGGTGCTTGTGGGGGGGTATGCACGCCAGTAAGACCCACTATTAAAAAAAGACAGTGGGTACCACAGGCACTACGCTGCATAGTATGAGGCACTTAAACCCCTTCTGACATCAGTGTTATTTTGGGCTCAAAGCAGTTAGGTCAATTGCCACTGGCAATATTAAAACAGTTTTTTAAAAAGGAAGCAAAGTGACAGATACAGGAAAAAGGAAACTGAAGAATGTAAAACGTTGCCCAAACGTTTACAATACTAACACACACATACATATGTGAAAACCCCTACGCAACATCAAGGGTGCAGCTACTTCTCTGTGTCTGTATAGTGCCTTACGACACTGGAAACTCTTAGGTACTACTACTGTAGCAAGTAAAATGACCAATGACCTCGTAATCGCTGAGAAGCACAAACTGAAAACAAATTATACACCTGTAATTGGCTCAGCACCCTGTACTCAAAACTCAAGAAAGCGCTGACACCTGGGAGCGTGCATATATCCTCTCACCAAAACAATAAATAAAAAAAATTACATGCTCAGTGCACAAACACTTTCTGAAGACAACAAAAAGGAATTCCTAAGTGTAGTAACGACAGCGCGTACGCATCGGGAAACTAAAATAATCCCAGAGCATGCAAGAACATTTATAGAGAAATTAAAAGCAGAAAAACTGAACCCACAGGTCGCCTCACCACCCTCCTTTTTGGAAGGGTGCTACTTTTTTCAGGAACTGTCCAGCTCTGGAAAAAGGGTGACACTATCGCCTTTTAGGCACACATTCAAACCTGTCTCCTCTCAGTTCAGAAGTCCTGGGGCTTAGCACCACGCATCATTCAGTTAGGAATCTTGGGATTTATCTTGCACAATCCTCAGGGCTCTGCACTGGACCTTGCTTTGCATGCATTATAGTCTAAAGGCCTTCTAATCAACGGAGCCTACTCTCTTTCCAAAGAAAAGACTGCTGCAGCGGGAACTCTGCTCGAACGCCGACACCCGGCTTTGGAAGAAGCAAATGCCACAGCAAACAGTAGCATTCAAGTAAAAGCTTGTGGCTTTTCTCACGGCTTCGCAAAAGGTGGCAGGACCACTCTGAGAAGAGCGTACCCCCTTCTTTCTAGGCATCCTCAAGAAAGCACGCAGGACTACGACTGTTCTCTTTTGACACAGAGTATTTCTATTTAACCCAGAACATAGTCACATTAACATAATCTCATCATTGTGCAAATTAGTTTCTTAAATTAGGGAGAGGCAAGGCACCACAAAGCTTGCAACTACACATATCCCAATATAAAATTTGATTTGAGTACTTCCAGCTCTTGAACCGAAACAAATTAATCAGCGTGCCCTCGAGTTCTGCGTGCCTGCAGTAGAGGGGTGCTCTTGGTATTTAGGTGGAATCAAAGGGTTCCTGCTTGTTAGGTAGCGACCAACTGTGGCTGTAGAAGACTAAATGGGAAGCCCCAAGGAAGCGAGGGCTAAGAATGAGGCGCACAGTGGAAAAAGAAAATGCATCCTTATTTACATCAGTTCTAGTGCACATCTGCCAGGAGCAACAAGGGAAAGTAAAGGTAATTTGCAAAAACAGACAGCTTTGTGTGAATATTAAGTTTCTGCAAAAATCACCCAGATGTATGACATACATAGACGTGTAACAAAGACAAAGGGAATCACCAGCATCACACAAACCAGTTCAGTTATTCACATGAGTGAGTTGCTTTGCGTCCCTGAGTTTAAGGGAACAAAAGAAAGGAGATAAAGCAGGCTCCAATTTTATTAGGCTACCAAGACAAAAATGACAGAGTTACCGTTTAGCAGACATTGAACAGTGGTTCAAAGTCAATTACTCAAGTTTCCAGAAAAGTTAGGGGAAGGCATGATGGTCTTGTCTCCAGAGAGAAGTTAGGAGAAAATGGCTATATACAGGTACAGAATGAGTTAAGAATCATTTGCTGGAGTACCAATATAGAACTTAGGGAAGGAAGAAAAAAAAAAAAAAAAAAGGCAGCTGCAGGGAATTGCTCACCCTTCTTTTTTTCTTCTGCATGCTTAACAAACCCTTGTATTCAGAAGCACTTTGGACCATTTCTTCATATAGTTCTAACATTTCTAAATTATCAACCTACAGAAATGAACGGCTGAGCTCTCCCTAAAAATATAGATTTTAAGTCATAACTCTGGTAACTGATGTTACTACATCCAATTTACGGTCCGCTGCAGAGACAGGCGATCTGTATGGCAGCCCACAGAAACTTGGTGCAGCAGCTTTTAATGTCAGTTAAATAGCTTTGTTACCAAGCTACATCTCAAAAGCAAAAACGCTCTGTCTCAAGTCTGACTAAATTAAGGAACCCTCTACAGCTAAGTCTAAGTGAGCCTTATATATGTGTGATATCCACCTAAAAAGTCACTTCCTCTGTGTTTACTTTGTTCTTGTGCGTGTCCAAAGACTCAGCTGCGAGACAGTCACTTTGGTGGTAGGAAGTAGGTAGGTAGGAAGCGAGTTCTCAAAAGCTGCCGCTCCTTAGCGGAGCAGAGTCTACCGCTGTTAGAGAACAAATGAAAACACCCCCATTCACCCCCCCCTCGGGCTCTGATCTGTAATAAAACAAAAAGCTACTTTAAGAAAACCCAACCACCCTAAAGTAAACAGCTAGAATAGACTTGTCAGTGTTGTAAAACACAGATGATTCCTGCCCCTGATATTTTGATCTAATTGAAACACTCGTTTAGCTACAACCACCTATTTTTAAACTTCTATACTGTAAATTTCCTTTGGAATTTGTACTCAAAGTGAAGATGGAAAACAAGCAAATTAGAGTGTGTTTCCTTCCAGAAGGACAAACAAACGTCTAAGGCATGAGAGCCATGGGAAGACTGTCTTACCTGTGCTCTCTCTTCATCAAATTCCAGGCAGCCCATACCATCCAGTCTCTGTAGATCTATCCAGCCTTTCCAGATTACACAGACACCATTAAGAATCATAGGTGCCTTCAAGTACACCTGAAATGAAAGCAAAACACACGCTACGAATCTGAAAGCATTTACACACATGCCCGCACAGCGAAAATACTGATGCAGGAAGCTTCCATATGTATTCTTAGAAGTTCATCCAAACCAGCTGGTAACATGAGACTCCACTTAACAGCTTCTCCTGCCTCCTTTCCAAGAATTCATTTTAATCAAGGGAGTGCTGTAACTCTTGCCTACCGTACTGGATGGAATAAATTTAAGCCGTGTTCTCATTTTATAAACTGGCGTGCACCACGATTTGGTTAGAGTTCTGTTACTGCTTTCAGTTAAAGCAACTGTTTTTCTTGTCAGCTTACCTTCGTGTCACAAAGAGAGTGGCACGCTGCCAGACAGGGAAGATCCTTCACAACACGTTTAAATGGTTAACCGAACACATGCTTTCCTACTCCCAAGCAGGACTGTATTTTACCCCAGCACACGAGCTCTCTCGACAAGAAACAAGCACCAGTTTCAGTCCTCCTCAAATTTACAAAGTTTAGTCAGAGTTTAGTAAAACGCACTATACATACACCATGCTAAAAATAAGAAAGTCTTCCTGTGTCTATTCTAGCATTTGTGAAAGGCTTTTCAAATGAAGCAACACCAGATGATCGAAACCCATCTACAGCATCAATGTGCCTTGAGCTGCAGCAAGGAATAATGCATGAGCTTAAGGCCCTCCGTCTAGATAATGGTAGATGATACAGTGATTTAAAGCAGATGTATTTCCCCTGCTAAAGACCAGAGATTAATCTCCACGCAGGAAATTTAAAAAGAAGCAAATACAATAGGAGTTTGACACCCTATATTTAATGACATCAGGGAAGAAAAAGGGAAGAAAAAGGGAAGAA